ACTGCTGCCTCACGTTCAGTTTTTCACCCACCAGGACCCCCAGCTCCTTCTCTGCAGGGCTGCTCTCCAGGCCCGCTCCTTCCAGTCTGTAGGGATGCCTGGGATTCCTCGGGCAAACAACAGATTTCCAAACAACAAATGCCAAATCATCAGATCTGCAACCTTTCAGTTAGTCAGATTGCCTGGAGCACCCAAACCATCTCCAGGATCAACACGACTCCACCTCCTGCAGAAGGCACAGCACTGTAAAACCAAGCTGAGCTGCTCCAACCCCAGCCCAAAGCAACAGCCTCATTAGAAAGAATGCTTTCAGAAATCCGTACCAGTGTGATTCTATTTTACAGTAATTACACTTAAAAAATTTTTAGAACCTGTTTAGACAGCAATTGTCATTACTGCAAATGACGTTTGTAAGGAGGAAGTACATATATGGGCCATCTATCCATCGAATAATGGGAGCTGATCTGTCGTTTGGTACTGCTGGTCTGAGTTTCACAGTTGCAAAAGGATTTTCTCCACTTAGAAAGGGTGGTTTTACAGTGCCATTCATGTCGGGTTTCAGACCTGCAATTTCTGGTTTGTCAGCTGGTGTTTTGGCAGCAGCACCTTGGGAAGACTCCGTTCTCAGTGAGAAGGGAGAGCCTGCCTGCCTGAATGGCACAGAAATGTCACAGCTTGGGGATGGAAGCAGCACGAATGGGAAACGCAGCCAGGAATGGGCAGTGACAGAAGTTGGGGCGCAGTGGACAGAACACCAGCAAAGCCTCCAGCTGGGAATGCAGACAGAGGGGAGCAAAAAGTGGAGACAGGAGACCGAGATGTCATCTGAGCTGGAAGTGAACAAAACTCCAGATACTTAAAGGGACCAGAAGCACAACTGGGTAGAAAAACGAGAGTGAACTGCTCATGTAAGCGGGAATAAAAGCTATAAACATTGAGTTTTCAGTGTAGGAATACAGAAGACAGTGCATTTGTACAAACTTGGAGGGACACTGAGAAAGAGAACACAGAGCCGGGAGTGAGACGTAACCAGGCTGGAAGTAAGCACACAGCTTACAAGCTTTACATGCTGGGGGAGGCACAGGGGACACTACTGCAAGCTCTCAGAGCAGATGTACTTACTGATCTGCTGTCATCCTGCGATGCAATGAAGTTAATGGAAGCCTGGAAGCAGAAACAGAAGCGTCAGTGTGGAGCACATAACGGAACCCTTCAGCTAACCCTGCTCCATTCAGAACCAGACTTACCAAACTCTTTCCCCCTGCCCTTCTTCCCATACAGCACAAAGCTTTCAAGTCCCGCATCAACCCCTGCAACGCATCCTCCACGTGGGGAGCAGCTCAGAGAGCAGCTTCTCTGAGTTCCTCCGCAAGAAGACACCCGCAATCCTCTGCACTTCACACGTTAACCCCCACCCTCCCTGCTTCTCCTCCAGCTCAGCAGATCGTGGCCCCTCTTTGCTCGAGCCAAGTCATCAGCACTGCAGCTTGTTGGCCATCTCAGCAAAAGGAGCAGGGAACAGCCCCGAGAGCAGAGTGGCTGTCCTCTGCAGCAAGCTGCGGGGCACCCCAAGCCCACGAGCCGGGGAGCACGGAGCTAAGGGAAGCAAACAGCAGGGCCAGGTGGGAGCAGCAGGGAGCAGCAGGGAGCAGCACGGAGCAGCAGCGCACACTGCACACCAGAGGGAACTTACAAAGCGTGTCTCCCTGCCTGGCCGAGCGGCTGCGGGCATCTGCAGGGGGGAAACACCAGGGGAGAGAATGGAGAGAAAATGGAGAGACCGGCGTGCCCCCGTGAGGCTGAGAGCCTCCCCAGCACACAGAATGCCCTCGCCCAGTGCTGTCAGTGCCCCACTGCTCCCTGCCTCACAGGAAGGCTCACTGCCCGCCTCTGCTGCCAGCCGTGGAGGACGACGCACTGATGCCCAAACCCACTGCAAACAGCTCCCTCCTCTTCACACCCGGCAGGAGCCAAGCCCAGGCAACACGACTGTGCAGCAGGACAATGGACTGCAGGGAACTACGAGCCTCCAGCCTGACCGCAGTATCGAGGAAGGTGATGGAACACATCATCCTGAGTGCAAACACGGGGCACGTGCAGGACAGCACAGTGACTGTCCTACGGCCTTTGGTAACACCTGGTGACTTCTTCCAAAGCAAGGCTGGGGAAGGGCTTGGAGAATGTGGCCTCTGAGGAGAGAGCGAAGGAACTGGGGCCGTTCAGGGTGGGGAAGAGGAGGCTGAGGGCAGACCTTGTCGCTCCCTTCCAGCGTCTGAAAGGGGATTGCAGCAGAGCGGGGCTGCTCTCTGCTCACTGGTGACAGGTGACGGGACGAGGGGCAATGGCCTGGAGTTGTGGCAGGGGAGGTTCAGGTTGGATCTCCGGAGGAACTTCTCTAAGAAAGGGCTGCTGAGCAGTGCAGTGGCTGCCCAGGGAGGTGGTTGGGTCAGCATCCCTGGATGTGTTTAACAGCCGTCTGGATGTGGTGCTCAGGGCCGTGGTTTAGCAGAGGGCTGTTAGGGTTGGGGTCGGATGGTTGGGCTGTGGTTGGACTCGGTGATCTTTGAGGTCTTTTCCAACTTGAGTGATCCTACGATTCTACGATTCCTACATTCTGCATAACATTCGATGTCCGAGAACTAATTCTACCTGATAGCATCTCACCTGACATGCAGGAGACTGCTGTCCAGAAGCATTAAATCACACACGTGGGTGACAGAAAACTCGTGGATAGAACAGAAGATGGGTACAGAGTGCATCTAGGAAGGCTAATGGCTCAGCACTGTGACACCATGGCACCTTAGGAAACAAGTGCCCAAGTTACTGACTCCTAACAGCCACAGAAGAAGTAAGGAAAAACAGGCTGTTAACACAAAGATTGGATCTCAGAAACCAAAGCAGTGAGGAAAAGCTTTCTAAGGACCTTAAGAGGCTAAAATGAATGACAAACTCAGGAGACAGTCGGAAACGTTTTGAGAAGTCAACAGAACCTCTCAAGCCATACTCAGCTCTGGACACAGGAAAGCAAGAGAAAAGCTGGAGAGATTATTCAAAATGGTTCACTCAAGGTACACCAGTGCCATGTAACAGGGAGATCCAACTTAAAAGTGGGAAGGGAAAGGCCTGCACCTGCAGAAACGCTCCTGGGATGCTCTGAACTCTGCAGAACTCAGTTAAATCTGGTTTATTCTTCTCAGAACTCAAGGAGGAAGGAGTGAATGGTTTTACTTGGAAAGGTTCCACTGTCTGACAGCCTCTGCTAGGAAAAAACAGACCATCACTACTGCCAAAGGAATCAAATAACAACAATCCAGCAGGGTCCTCTAATGCCAAATGATTTATCATCCAGCAAGCCCATCCAGAGTTAAGAAGGCAGATGGCATTAGCTGGAGGGTGGCTGGTGGGAAGGACACATCACCGTGCCTTCAATGCCAACACACATCTACCAAAAGCACCAGAGAATCACGAAAGTTCACTGTGACAAATTGGAACCAGGAACACTCCATCCAAAGACTTGTTTAAATTTAAAATAATAATAAAAAACCAATTATTATAATAATAAACCTGTAATCTCACAGTGAGGGTTGTCACACAGCAGTTCCAGGAGCTGCTGGCTGAAAAGATGCAGACTATCCCTAACCAGGAGCTGAGCTTCTCTAGGGATGAAGAAAATGAATATCCAGATCTCTGTCCACTGCAGAACGAGGAGTAGCATCCTCACCCCAACAATATCTCTAGATGGAAGGACCCTAAACTCAAAGAAAGCTGGCATTTGAGGTCAAGGGAAGACTTAGAGGCAAAGAGCCTCAAATACACCTCTGAGCGTACATCTGCTGTCAGAAAAGCAAAGGGATGGAGCTGGAAGAGGATGCACTGACACTGCATTACTATAATCACAGAACCATAGAATGGCCTGGGTTGAAAAGGACCAAAATAATCTTCAGACCCCTGCTGTGTGCAGGGTCTCCAGCCAGCAGCCCAGGCTGCCCAGAGCCACATCCAGCCTGGCCTTGGATGCCTGCAGGGATGGGGCATCCACAGCCTCCTTGGGCAACCTGTTCCAGTGCCTCACCACCCTCTGTGGGAAAAGGTCACAGAGCCAAGGAATGGTTGGGTTGGGTTGGGTTGGGTTGGAGGGGTCCTTGAAGATCACAGAGCCATGAAATGGTTGAGTTGGGTTGGAAAGGTCCTTGAAGATCATAGAGCCATAGGATGGTTGGGTTGGGTTGGAAGGATCCTTGAAGATCATAGAGCCATGAAATGGTTGGGTTGGGTTGGGTTGGAAGGGTCCTTGAAGGTCATAGAGCCATGGATTGGTTGGGCTGCGTTGGGTTGGGTTGGGTTGGGTTGGAAGGGTCCTTACAGTCCACAGAACCACAGAATGGTTGGGTTGGAAGGGTCCTGGAAGGTCACAGAAGCATAGAATGGATGGGAGTGTCCTCGGAGGTCAGAGAGCCATGGAATGATAGAATGCATTGGGTTGAAATGATTCTTAAGGCTTACAGAATCGTAGAATCATAGACCAGCCTGGGTTGCAAAGGAGCACAATGCTCTTCTGGTTCCAACCTCCTGCTATGTGGAGGGTCGCCAACCAGCAGCCCAGGCTGCCCAGAGCCACATCCAGCCTGGCCTGCGGACAGAGTGAACGGAGTGAACTACTGCCCATTACAGCTCTGCTGTTTCTTATTCCAGACTCTCACTGCTGTCAGTGTTAACGGTCCTCTCGCCCCAAGATGATGCAATTCACCTCACCGAGCTGCCTCAAAATTAACTGAGCCAAAAAAGCAGTTCAATTCTGTCAAGCTCAGATTGCTGGAATGGCTCAACCAAAGACCAGGTAACTGCCAGAGCTGTTTGGTCCCAATAGTTGCAGAGCAGCCACACTCCCAATGGATGCAAAATAACCGAGGACGGAGCACACAGCACAATTCTCCCTTCATTACAGCTCATAATGCAATCCCGTAATGTCTGTGAAGGGAAAATTTCAACGCCCACTTCAGAGTATTTCACTTCAAAAGGCTCAACTGATTTGTGAAACCCACTGCCACGGGATAAACACTGAAATCAAAGGCTTCATGAGATGGAAAGCAAAAGTTCTCAGTTTGTATGAGTAATAAGAAGAGCTAGTGAAAATAGGGAATGCTGACAAAAACAAACCAAAAATTACAAGAAATTTTCAAGACAAAAGCTAAAAATTCAGAGAGAAAGAAAATCAGTCCCTGGGGGGCAGGTCAGCCCATAAGTGTGTGCACAGGGCCCTTTGGTTCTCTTCTGAAGAGCCCATGTGAGCTGCTGGCAGAGCCACCGACAGAACAGGGATCAATGTGGGAGTCTGAGCAGCAGTGGTTTACAGAGCTGAGGTTTCTCCAAACTTTCACTTCCCCACTACAGAATTCAACATGAGGCAAAGGAAGGGAGGAGCTGGGGATTCGTGATCCTTCAGGTCCCTTCCAACCCAGTCCATTCTGTGTGTGAGGCACAGGTGAAGCCATTCTCAAGACAGGCAACGACCTCTTTGTAGTTATCTTAGATACTCCCCTGCTCATTAATTACTCTGATAATTAATCCTCAGAGCAAGTTTATGACCAACTACTTAAATCCTGGGTCTCAGAAACATTTTGAAAAAGAAGAGCTCCTTCCCTTGCATCCTGGAAGGGATATTTCTCCATCACAAAGGTGTCACTCCCAAATACGGAATCACAGAATCACAGAATGGTTGGGTTGGACCTCAAGGATGGTGAAGCTCCAACCCCCCACCACAGGCAGGGCCACCAACCTCCTCATTTAATGCTGGACCAGGCTGCCCAGGGCCCCATCCAACCTGGCCTCCAACACCTCCAGGGATGGACGGGGCATCCACAGCCTCTCTGGGCAGCTGTTCCAGCACCTCACCGCTCTCACAGCAAACAACTTCCCCCTGACAAATACAGGAATGATTCTCAAATAAAGGAATTATCCTCAGCTCCTTCTGCCCGTTGCTGCCCTGGAAGCACACCTGCCTCCTCCCCATCGCCTGCCTTATGTGCAGCCTCACCTGCTGGTTACTGGGAGAATAGGGGGTTTCTCGCCTTGAATTTCCCGTCCCCGACTCAGGAGCCTGCAAGAGAGAAGACAAAGCTTGAGAATTACTGTGCAGCAGCAACTTCCACACATCTCTGTCTGCAGCGAGACCAGGAGACAGTTCTGATGTGCAGAATGAAGGAACTATGGACCACTTCACCACAAGGAGGCAGGCAGTGTTGGCCCAGTAGCAGATGTCACACTGCAAAAAGCACTGGAAACAGCAAGAGGATTGCATGAAACATCAGAGCTCACATCCGAACACCTTGCACAGCCAACTGCATCAGGCTGAGACTTCTGCCTTGTAAGGATTTCTGGGAATCCCCTCCCCCAGCACGAGGCAAACTTCATGTCCTGGAGCAACTAAAGCCACTCGTGACCAAAAGGAGACTCTTTCAGAGCCGTATCCATTGCAGCTGGCCTGCAGCTGCAGAGCAGGGCAGAGCACAGGAGGGATTCATCCCTTCTGCAGGAACCCCCACAGCAGCATCACAAGGGCAGAGTCCCAATAATCGTCATGCTGGTTAAGGAACACCATTAAAAAGCATTTTAGATGCCTAAAAGTGGAAATGGGTCCTTTGGGATTTCAACCCGAAGCAAATTTTGAAGCAAATCTACGGGTTTTGCAATTATTAATTATTATACTCATGCAGCAGTGAATCCCGTTAGGGTGACCTGGATCAGCTGTGGGCAACGGTATTTATTTTTACATCCCAAGCCAGGGGATGTAATCTAAGGCTTACACTGGACAAAAGAAAATACCTGCTCCTTCCTCACACCTCAGGGACAGCACACGGCAGTCTCAACCCCACCACTTCCATGCCGCTCTGCTGGGCTCCGTCATCCTCTGCCCAAAGCTTCCATGTGCTGCTCATCCACCCGAGGAGGGTGCTGTGCTGCTCTGCAAAGACCTCATCCTACAAAGAAAGCCCTTCAGCTCCCTCACCCACCTGACACAGCTCTGCTGCCAGCGCACAGGAGAACAGATGATGGGAATTGGTCTTTTCTGACAGCAGTGTGGAAGCAGATTAGCTTAAGCTAACTGTCACAGGCACACCCTGATCCACACCCGATCGCTGGATCTGGGTTAAATCTGCCTTTTCTGACCACTGACTGTAAATCTAGATATGCATCAATGGTGTCCATAGCACAGACTTTGACTTTCCATAGAACGGCCAGGGTTGGAAGGGACCTCAAGGATCACGAAGCTCCAACCCCCACCAATGCAGGGCCACCAACCTCCACATTTCACAGCAGCCCAGGCTGCCCAGGGCCCCATCCAACCTGGCCTCCAACACCTCCAGGGATGGACGGGGCATCCACAGCCTCTGTTTTCTGTCTGATTGAAGCCTGCTGGGGTTTGTCTGTAGGATCGGGGTGTCTGCATTTACCTACACCGCCATGGGCTGCACTTTGTAGTGCTTCTGACTGCCGTGCTCTCCTGAGCTTAAAGGGAGCAGGTTGCCCACGGCTTGGCCTCCGACCAGAGGGACTGAATGCACTGCAGGAATCCTTCTGCAGGGTCACAGAATGGCTGAGGTTGGGATGGTAGAACGGTTGGGTTGGAAGAGAGCCTACGGAGTGGCTGAGATTGGGATCACAGGATGGCCTGGGTTGGAAACGACCCCACAGAATGGCTGAGGTTGGGATGATAGAATGGTTGGGTTGGAAGGGACCCCAAGGATCACGAATTCCCAAACCCCTGCCACATGCAGGGCCACCAACCTCCACATTTCACAGCAGCCCAGGCTGCCCAGGGCCCCATCCCACCTGGCCATAAAGATCCATAGTGAGCCATGGTGATCCATAGGGTGCCATAGGGACCCATAATCATAGAATCATCACAGAACCCTAGCATGGCCTGGGTTGCAAAGGAGCACAATGCTCAACCTGGTTCCAACCCCCTGCTATGTGCAGGTCGCCAACCAGCAGCCCAGGCTGCCCAGAGCCACATCCAGCCTGGCCTTGGATGCCTGCAGGGATGGGGCATCCACAGCCTCCTTGGGCAACCTGTTCCAGTGCCTCACCACCTCTGCATGAAAAACTTCCTCCTCACATCCAACCCAAACCTCCCCTGGCTCACTTTAAAGCCATTCCCCTCATCCCATCACCACCACCCTCACACACAGCCGTTCCCCTCCTGTTTATCCGCTCCCTCCAAGCACTGGAGGCCACCATCAGGTCTCCCTGCAGCCTTCTCTTCTCCGAGCCAAACGAGCCCAGCTCCCTCAGCCTTTCCTCATAGCAGAGCTGCTCCAGCCCTCTGAGCATCTCAGTGCCCTCCTCTGGCCCCTCTCCAACAGCTCCCTGTCCTTCTTGTCCTGGGGGCTCCAGCCCTGGACGCAGTGCTGCAGACGGGGCCTCACGAGAGCAGAGCAGAGAGGGACGATCACCTCCCTGTCCCTGCTGCCACCCCATTTTCAATGCAGCCCAGACAAAAAACATCCGTGCTTGCTGGAGCCCACGGACACCCATCACACCATTCCCACCATCTCCCCACATCTCCCCGCTCCCACGGAACCACGGCAACACTGCTGCTCCTGCAGGCTGCCCACGACCACAGGAGCTCCTCCCCAGCCCCTCACCTCGGCCCCCCAGCACAGGGCACATGCACAGCTGGTCGGTTAGTGCCGGAGGACGACCGCAGTCAGTCAGCACACAACACATCACGTGCGTTAGGTGGGAGCAGCCCAGGCCTCGTGCTGCCTTTGCACGCCCCGTGGTTTAGTAGGAGCCGCTTGGCTCCTGCGCGACCCGCATGCTGCACGCCGTCAGAACCCTTGCCTTGGAGTAAAGGTTGGTCTTCAGCACTCCCTCCCTGCCATAGCCCAGCGGGGGGCCCCCCAGGAAGGCTTTGCCCGCCGCCTTCCCCCTCCTGTTGGCCACCACGAAGGGGTTCTCGCTGAAGAGGATGGGCTGCGAGTCGATCATGCACTCTTGCTCCGGTGCCTCCGGCTCCCGGGTTGGGGAGCAGTGGTTGGGATCCCGTTCGTCTACAGGGGGTTTTTCTGCCCCACACGTGCGCCGGCAGGGCGACGCGGGGTCCTGGGGAGGGCCAGGCTCGCATCTGGTGGTCAGGGCTGCTGCTGCTGCTGCTGCTGCTGGGGAGCAGTGCTGGCTGTCCTGTGCCACCGGCAGGGACTGCATAGTGTGCTCAGACCCTGCGGCCCTATCGCAATGAACGGGCTGTGAGGAAACAGAAGGGTCAGAAAGACATAAAGAGAGGAGGGAAAAGGAGAGGAAGAGAAATAAAAAGAGAGCAGGAGGACAGGGGAGAGAGGAATTCCAGAAGTAATGCCCACAGCACCATCCCAGCTTCTACTCCATCACCAGTCCTGTGACCCAAGTGCCACTTCATACAACCACAGAACTCTAGCATGGCCTGGGTTGCAAAGGAGCACAGTGCTCATCAGTTCCAACCCCCTGCTGTGTGCAGGTCGCCAACCAGCAGCCCAGGCTGCCCAGAGCCACATCCAGCCTGGCCTTGGATGCCTGCAGGGATGGGGCATCCACAGCCTCCTTGGGCAACCTGTTCCAGTGCCTCACCACCTCTGCATGAAAAACTTCCTCCTCACAGCCAACCTAAACCTCCCCTGGCTCACTTTAAAGCCATTCCCCTCATCCCATCACCACCACCCTCACACACAGCCGTTCCCCTCCTGTTTATCCGCTCCCTCCAAGCACTGGAGGCCACCATCAGGTCTCCCTGCAGCCTTCTCTTCTCCAGGCTAAACGAGCCCAGTTCCCTCGGCCTTTTCTCATAGGAGAGAAGAAAAAAATTTTAGCTAAGTTCATGGAAGCCCTTGGGGTTATTCAGCTGCAAAAGAGCCACACTGGCTTCTGAACAGAGCTGCAGCAGTTTTCCTTTAGAGGTCAGGCTCGCTGCTAGTTTTGTTCACAGCTGATTTGTTTCTTTGAACGTAGCTGGAAATCCACTACAGAATCACAGAATCACAAATGGTTGGGTTGGAAGGGACCTCAAGGATGACGAAGCTCCAACCCCCACCAATGCAGGGCCACCAACCTCCACATTTCACAGCAGCCCAGGCTGCCCAGGGCCCCATCCAACCTGGCCCTGAACACCTCCAGGGATGGACGGGGCATCCACAGCCTCTGGGCAGCTGTTCCAGCACCTCACCGCTCTCACAGCAAACAACTTCCCCCTCACATCCAACTGAAATCTGCCCTCCCTCAGCTTCAAACCATTCCCTCGTCCTGCTGCCATCTCCCCTTCCCAAGAGCTGACTCCCCTCCTGTCTGTAGGCTCCCTTGAGGTGCTGAAGGCTGCAATGATTCACCCCGCAGCTTCTCTTCTCCATGCTGAACGAGCCCAGCTCCCTCAGCCTGTCTTTGTACGGAGGTGCTGCAGCCCTGCTCATCTCTGTGGCTCCTCTGGCCCCTCTCCAACAGCTCCCTGTCCTTCTTGTCCTGGGGGCTCCAGCCCTGGACGCAGTGCTGCAGACGGGGCCTCACGAGAGCAGAGCAGAGAGGGACACGCTTTGCTGTCAGCATGCAATACATGCAATACGCACACTGATATCAGCAGCCTCGTGCACACTCCCTGCTCTCACTTACGCTCCTATTTGCATTTCAGCAGCTCAGTAACTCTGCTGCTCTCCAGCAAAAGCGACCCCAAGGGCAGCACATGGCCTCCCCCCTCCTGCAGCTTTCTCAGCTCCACCACCACTCTGCCAAACGCCACCTGTCTGCCCCCAGCTTAGTTCCACGTACCCCCGGCACACACAGTAACACAAATGTCTCTTCTTGCTCCACTGAGCTCCCACGCAGTCACACCACATCACTGTTCTCCATGCACATCCACCCCATCCGCACACACACTCGTTGCTCTGTTTCATCTCTGTGCACACTCACAGCACCGACAGTGGGGCACAGAGCACAGATCCCTTTACATGCTGGATGGAACCCGAAGCACTGACCTTTTCTCCTTTAGAACCATAAAAGAGTGTTTGTTACCCCACCAAAGGCTTCAGCAGTGAAGTGGGGATAATGAGAGAACAATGCTGCAGCCTCCTCCTC